TAGTGAGTTTGCTAAGAGCTATTAAATGGAAACTCCTTCAAGCCAGGGGGAGCTGTACTTATAGAGCGGTGAGGACTGGGATGTGGAGCAGATGAGGGAGTGGAACTGTGGAGACTTGGAGCTGAGGAGGGGGATAGGAAAATATTCTGTGATCATGTAATTAAAAACTATTGTGGTGTGTTTATATACACAAAGAAGCAGAAGAAAAGTTGCATACGTGGCTTTAATTCTGGCATTTCTTAGCTTACAAGTGCTTGATTTTGCAACCTTAACATAGCTAAAATATAATGTTTATATATAACTACATATATTGGCTTTGTGCATCAAAGGACACTGATTTCTTATGCCTCAAAGTAAATATTAGGCTTGGCTTGGCTTGTAAACCTTTATCTACTTAGTAGTTCCATTTGCTATACTGTTTTGTTAGCTATTTGATATTTTGTAGCACCTCCTCAAACCCTCAGGAGGAGTGTTGTCTAATTGTACTAGATTATTTACAAGCACAAAGACCAGCCCTGGAATACTCATTGTCTAAGAAGATAAACATTATCTAAAGGGCCAGGAAGAGGGAGACAATGAGTGAATATTTTATTAAAGTATATAAAAACTTAAAAATAAATATTTAATTAAAATCATCCAGTAGATGAGGTGGGCAGGATGTCTTGGTTGTATATCAGAAACACATTCAAGGCATATGCAAACTTGACGCCATCAGAATGGGTATGAAGAAGGACTGAGAATGGCTAGCTCATTACAAGCAGTAATTTTACAGTAATTTTACTCTTTAGATAGTTTCACCTTATTATCAACTGTTGGAACTGGGCCACATCCATCCTGATTGAATTACCCTCATAAGCACTGATGTAACACTCCCATCTCTGTATAAATCCCTGACAAACTGTACCTTCCACTTCCATCTGATGAAATGAGCCGCAGTCCACAAGATCTTATGCTGTAATACATTTGTGAGTCTTTAAGGTGCCATAGGAGTCCTCCTTGTTTTTGCTGAAACAGACTACTTCTCTGAAACACTCAAGACAGTCATCCTGTGAAATACACAGTTCCAGCCTGCTATAGTATCCTCTTAACAAAAGAGGATTTTGGCTGAAGGTGGTTAACAAATGATTAAAAAATTCAGGCATCAGTGAAGAAAATGGAAAAAGGAGAAATTGGGAGCAAGAAATTGGATGGCTCTGAAACTAAGCCATAGCAAACCCAATGGGTCATACAGCGGTTTTGTCTGATAAAAATATTATGAGAGTAATTGGAAAATGGGCCTTTAAGACTGTGATGATATTTGAAAGAGCATATGTAGAGAACATTTTAACAATAAAAAAGTTTACCTGTGTATCCAGCTGGGTCACAGTCTGCAGCAATATTTGGATGTTAGTGTATTATAGGCCATGATAGAGGCTTGAGTACTTTCCTGAGCTCAAGCCCATCCCTCATAGGACTGCTATTAAGCATGTGCTTAAACCCCAATGAATAAATCAGATGTAAGCACACACCAAGATAGTTGCCCAAATAGGGTTGCTTTTCTGAATTGGGGCTTACAAGAATAGAATAATCTGTATGATTCAGGAAAAAGAAAGAACTGTTTGTTTTAGTTTTTGTTGGATTGACCTTTCTCATAATATTAATCATGTGATTTACAGGGTGGTCCGGGTGTCAGAGGCCCTAAGGGTCAGCATGGTGATCAAGGTCCAAAGGTAATCTATGACTATACTTGTAACATGCACTTTTTTTTTTTGCTTTTGTCTGTTTGTGTCTAAATCTAGATTTTTGTATGTGTGTATGAGCTTAAATCTAGAATGTCTGTTATGTTCTTGAAGAAAGGGGGGTAGTCAAATACCATTGGTGTTTAGGGTGTGAACAGCATTCTGATCTCCTGGGTCATACTGGTGACACATCATGTTTGTTTCTGGGTGAGGGGCAGTAAAATGCATAGTGCTGCTGCTATCTGTGTCAGCATATATCTCTGGATTTTTGCATTCCTAAAGGAATCAAGCCTTTGTAAATGGGAGCCTTCTTGGCCTGTCAGCAGTATTAACTTATCTTTTAGGTGCAGTTGAGTCTATTGGTATTTATTTCTGCACAGATACCCCCTTCATATGTATAGTAGGAGTCTGTGGCTTTTATGTTTTCCCTGTTGTTGTCTTAGGGTCTAGATGGACCTCGTGGTGAAGTTGGTGCTCCAGGACCCCAAGGGCCTCCAGGACCACAAGGGCCAAGTGGACTTTCTATTCAAGGACTTCCAGTAAGATCTAAATGAAAAATTGTGGACTTATTTTTATCCCAGGAATTTGCCAGCACCCACACTTTAGATTGTTCCTAAAGTTTAGATAAAACAAGAGATTGGACTGAGCTGCACATTTGAGATCCAATGTCTGAGGTGTCTGGATCATGGGTAAGAACTAGCTCCAACATTAAGATGTGTATTTGGATCTGAAGTTCACTAAACATTAAGGCTACGTCTACATTGGCCCCTATTCCGTAATAGGGATGCAAATGTAGCACTTTGGAATAGGCAAATCTGCGGGGGATTTAAATATCCCCCGCGGCATTTGCATTTTCATGGCTGCCGCTTTTTTCCGGCTTGTAGATAAGCCAGAGAAAAGCGCCAATCTGGACACGATCCTCCGGAAAATAGGGGCCAATGTAGACGTAGCCTAAGAGAGTTTGGCCCATGGGTTTTTGGTTCAGACCCAAATCTAGTTTAAAAAAGTTTTTAAAAATGCTTTGAGCTGGAGTGTGTGGCAGGAACACTTAAAACATAGTTTGTTTGTTTTTTGTTTGATATTCTGTGACTTTTATTATATTAGTCCTGTTCTGAGCGGAGAGATGTTTACATACCAAAACCACCTCTATCATCTAAATTAACTGACACTAACTGGTACACCTGTTGGCAGGCTTACAGAAAGGTCAGGGAGTGAATCAGTAGGCACAGAGCCTGAAATACTGTCTTAGTGGCTGGTTTCTCAGTGCCAATATTGAGATATATTCGCGGTGCTAAAAACCTGCACTACCAATCCCCATGCTATCTTATTAAAAGGCTTGGAAGGATTAGATTTTTATCAGTGAACATCACACACAAACCGATGAAAAATATTTCCATCCATAACAGAAATTTACAGAGCAATAAAGTAAGAAAAATGCTATTGGAGAATGCATTGGAGTTTGATTTTAGGATACCTACTGCCTGCATTTTTATATGTGATGTTGGCAATTTGTGTTTTAATGGTTATAAAAGGTTTAACTTTTCTGCATTTCAGCATCAACTGTCATTAGATGACAATGATTGTTTGACCTCGCCACTCTCTGGCCCTCTGATAATTTTCTGCAACTGGAAAAAATTTAAATTGATAAAAAGCAGCTTAAAATCTTAATTATATGCAACTGTGTAAATTTAAATAGCAAAAAATGTTTCAAATTAAAACATCAATATTATGCATTGAAATTGTAAAAACATTGAATTCTGCCAAGTCTCCTTATAAAAATAGATAATATATAATGTATGACAATATGTAATAATAAATGTCATGTAGATGAATATACATAGTCTCTGAGGACTATCAACCCATCCTTTTCTTTGTAGAAAATCTAAAGAAGTTTAATAGAATACAATATTCTTTCTACCACATTTTTAACCAATCTATTGGATTTCAATAGCAGGAATATAATTAAAACAGTTTCAAAGGAAATTATTCTAATTATTCTTGTGATGGGCAGTACAAACCCCACACAGGAAGGGAAGAGACTAAAAAATGGTTTGCCAAAAATGCTTAAAAGCTGCAGAAACTGGGCTTGTTGCTTCTTTTTTTGATCAACTCTCAGCAAGCAGGAGCAAGTGAGGGCAAAGGCAGAGAAGGGGGGAGAGAGTTCAGGGATGCATAGAGGGCCCACCCCTGTCCCAGAACCCAGCCTGCACTCCAGGGGGTTGTACAGGCCATCCTTGCTGTAAGTCCAAGATACGTTCCAAAAAACTTGGACTTATAGTGAAACAACTTAAAGCAGGGAACTTTTTTCCTGCGGCTGACTTCCACTTGTGCAAATTGCTGGGGTTTTTTTTACACGACTTAAGAGCAGGAAATGGGAGGACTTATAATGTATCATTTCCAACAAGTGTCAACGACTTTAGTGCGGAACGGATGTATACCGGGGCAACTTATAGTGAGGGCACTCTGTAGTCACATAGCTTATTTTGGCCTTGTTTTGAAATGGGATTTGTTTAGTTTTTGGCTTATTGTGAAAAGTGAGTGCTTATTTAAAGCATGTGAAAGCTGGCAACTTATACCTATTGGGAAGAGAGCAGATTAGTAGGAAATAATCCAGTAAGGCAGACCCATAGCAGATTGGGGTGCAAGATTTAGCTGCTTGCTGCTGAATCTTTTAGAACTCATTGGAGAGGGTTAGCCCAAGTTCCCCTACTAGCCCCTGAAGAGGGGCCAGCTATAGAAGTCTCTTAACCATGAAGCCCAAAGTTTAGGGAAAGTCAATCCCTTGCTTAATCCAGAAGGCTATCTTGTTGTGGGACCCTCTGTATATCCCCCCTAAAGAGGAGGACTTGAATGTGTGGCCTGGCCAGAGGGCCACGTCAATGAAGGGACAGATCTTTGCAGGGCGGGAGAGGCCATAAAAAGGTGAGCACCTGGAAAGAAAAAAGCCTGCCACACCTCGCCTGACTAGTGGCATGGGCAATGAGTGTTTTTAACAGAGCATATAACCAAGGGTATATGTGCTATAAGAATAAATTCCAATTCTTTGTATAAAATTTAATAGAGAATTATATTCCTGCTATAGAAATGATATTCTTTATTACTCATGTTTATATATATATAATCTTTTTTTATTTCTATAGAGCTCTGTTGAATTCATTGCTATAGGACATTTCCCTGAGTCTCAAAGAGAAACGAATTCTCTCACAAGAAGAAGAAGATGTGTCCACTTTGTAACATAAAGTTTATCACTTTGCCAGGATAATTTAAAAGCTTTTGAATCTGAAATGATATTCTTTATTACTCATGTTTATATATATATAATCTTTTTTTATTTCTATAGAGCTCTGTTGAATTCATTGCTATAGGACATTTCCCTGAGTCTCAAAGAGAAACGAATTCTCTCACAAGAAGAAGAAGATGTGTCCACTTTGTAACATAAAGTTTATCACTTTGCCAGGATAATTTAAAAGCTTTTGAATCTGAGTTTCCTTTTCTTTATGTTCCATATCTCTAAAGATTTAATTGATTTTTTTTTTTGCAAACCAATTCTTCAGATACAATTTTGGGATATTCTTTAATAGAAAAAATGAATCTGTGGTTAATTTTTGCGCTGTGTTTTGAAAAGAACATTTGAAATTAGGAGGAAATCAGGAATGCATGTGTTTAACTACATGTGATTTATTGATCCCCAGGGAACACCAGGTGAAAAAGGAGAGAAAGGTGATCGTGGTCTCCCTGGCCAACAGGTATTCTCTATATCAGCGGTGTCCAACCTTTTTACCCACAAAATCACTTTTTCCAATTTAAGTGCAATGTAAGATCTACCTCAAACCCAAATATTGTTGCCCCACTTCCATTCTGCCCCTTCTTTGAGGCCCTGCCCCAGCTCCACCCCTTCTCCAAGGCCTCACCTTGCTCACACCATCCCTCTTCCTCCCTCATCCTCACTCACTTTCACCAGGCAGGGTAGGGACTTGGGGTGCAGATGCTGGTTTTGGGTCAAGGGGTTTGGTGTGTGGGAGGGGCTCCTGGTCAGGAGCGACCCGAGGCCGGCTTCAGCAGCTGGCGCCCTAGGCAGGGCGGCGCAATCGGCGCCCCTGCCTGCACGGCCGTCAATGGCCGTTACGTCATCATCGGGGGCCCGGGCCAGCGGCGCCCTAGGCAGCTGCCTAGCTCTCCTAGGCTCACGGGCCGCTGGTGCTCCTGGCTTAGCCCAGGGTATTGGGGTCCAGGAGGGGTTTCAGGGTGCAAGCTCTGGGAAGGAGTTTGGGTGCAGAGGGACTCATGTCTGGGACAGGAAGAGGTTCAGGACTGGGACAGTTCAGGAAGCAGGCTCTGGCTGAGCATTGTTTAACTGAAACGGCTTCCAGATGGTGGAGCAGTGGGATTAAGACAGGCTTACTCCTACCCTGGCCCTGCACCACTCCTGAAAGCAGCTGGCATGTACAGCAATGGTTCCATGGCACCGTGTGCTGCCCCTCATCTACAGGCACTGGGCCTACAGCTTCTACTGGCCACGGCTCCCTGTTATTGATCAATGGGAACTTCAGGAGTGGTGTCTGCAGGCAGGGACAGCATGTGGAGACCCCCCTGCTCTGCCTCTCTCAGGGGCTGCAGAGACATGCCATCCACTTGCAGGATCAGCAATTACCACAGGGATAATTACTCCAAACATGACAGGTTAGGCGTGTTAGAACTTGCTACTCAAAGAATTACATGTAAGTGTAAGAGAAATGAAAATGATGAAATGCACAGATCAGTCAAAAACCAAAACTAACCCACTTTCCAAGCAGTAAAAATAGTAACAACCCCCCACGTATGTGTTGGGTTGGGAGATGAGAGTGAAGGGCAGTGTTTGTGAGAATGACAGATACACACACACTGTGTGAGCGTGACAGAGATTTGCATTGTCAAGCTCCCCCTATCCCCTTCTCTCAGGGTATGTCTACACTACAGAGTTTTTTCAGAAAAAATGGCCTTTTTCCAGAAAAACCTCACATAAGTCCATACTGCAGTTTGCTACAGGCACAGTGGCCACCAGGCACCTGTGCTTTTTCCTTTTCTATCAAAAGAACTCCCTCTTCCCCATCTACACACACCTTTTTCCAAAAGAGCTCTTTTGGAAAAAGGTGTGTGTAGATGGGGAAGAGGGAGTTCTTTTGATAGAAAAGGAAAAAGCACAGGTGCCTGGTGGCCACTGTGCCTGTAGCAATCACAGCTTACATGTGAGATAGCATCCACACTGAATGGACGCTATGTGGTGAAAAATCAGATCACTATTTCAATGCACTTTGGCAGTGTGGACGCTCTCTTTCGGAAGAAGTTTTTTTGGAAGATCTCCTCCGGAAAAGCTTCTTCCAAAAGAAGCCTGCAGTCTAGACATAGCCTCAGTTTGGAGTTGGGTTTCAAAAGTGGAGGAGGAGGGACACCCTGACATCAGCACCTCCCATTCTCCCTCCCACACCCTGCACAACAAGCAGGAGGCTCCCGGGTGGGCAGTTCCAAGGTAGGGGCAGGAGCAGCGTTACAGTGGGCAGGGGGGCAGCTGAAGTGCCAGCGCTTGATATCTTCCTGGCCAAACCAGTCAGGATCACCTGTCAGAGGCTCCAAGATCTACTGGTAGATCCCAATCTACCGGTTGGTGACCACTGCCCTATATTATAGCTTTAAAGTAGCATTCAGTGGGTAATATTTGAATGTGTAATTGCCACCGTTGTGTTGGGTGTGGTCAATATTCAAAGATATTGAGGGGCACTGTGGTGTAGTTAAAAGGGCAAACAATTTAGAATCAATTAAACCTCTGAGATCTATTGTGGCCTGGTAACTGATTTGTGTGCCCAGGGAAAATCACTTAAGACCTGACTTTGAAGAGCCAGCTTCTCTTTTTGTGCCAACAAATAATCCGAGGTGCAATTTTGTGACGCCAACTGTGAGCAAGGAGCTATCTGACTACCTCGTATGCTGCACTCTGGTACATAAAAACATAAGAACGGCCATACTGCGTCAGACCAAAGGTCTATCTAGTCCAGCATCCTCTCTGCCAATGGTGGTCAATACCAGATGCTCCAGAGGGAGGGAACACAATAGGAAATCATCACGTGATCCCTCTCCTGTCGTCCATCTCTAGACAAACAGAGGCTAGGGACACTATTTCTTCCCCTCCTGGCTAATAACCATTGATGGACCTAAACTCCATGAATCTATCTAGCTTTTTTTGAACGCCATTTAAAGTTCTAGCCTTCATCACATCCTCTGGCAAGGAGTTCCACAGGTTGACTATGCACTGAGTGAAGAAAAACTTCCTTTTGTTTGTTTTAAACCTGCTGCCTATTAATGTCATTTAGTGATCCCTAGTTCTTATATTGTGGGAATAAGTAAATAACTTTTCCTTATTCACTTTCTCCACACCAGTCATGATTTTATAGACCTCTATCATATCCTCCTTAGTCTCCTTTTTTCTAAGATGAAAAGTCCAAGTCTTTTTAATCTCTTTTCACATAGGACCCATTCCAAACCCCTAATCCTTTTTGTTGCCCTTTTCCGAACCTTTTCGAATGCCAGTGTATCTTTTTTGAGATGAGGCAACCACATCTGTATGCAGTATTCAAGATGTGGGCATACCATGGTTTTACATAGAGGCAACAAAATATTCTGTCTTATTCTCAATCCCCTTTTTTAATGATTCCTAACATTCTATTTGCTTTTTCGACTGCTGCTGCACACTGAGTGGATGTTTTCAAGAACTATCCACAATGACTCCAAGGTCTCTTTCTTGAGTAGTTGTAACTAAATTAGTCCCCAACATATCGTATGTATAGTTGGGATTATTTTATCCAATGTGTTTTACTTTACATTGATCAAATTGATTATATTTCATTTGCCATTTTGTTGCCCAATCACTTAGTTCGGTGAGATCTTTTTGAAGCTCTTCACAGTCTGCTTTGGTCTTAACTATCTTGAGCAGTTTGGTATCTTCTGCAAATTTTGCTAACTCACTCTTTACCCCATTCTCTAGATCATTTATAAATAAGTTGAATAGGATTGGTCCCAAGGAAGATCCTTGGGGGACCCCACTAGTTACCTCTCTCCACTCTGAAAACTTATCATTTATTCCTACCCTTTGTTTCCTTTCTTTTAACTGGCTGCCAGCCCATGAGAGGACCTTTCCTCTTATCCCATGACAACTTACTTTATTTAAGAGCCTTTGGTGAAGGACCCTCCAACACTTTCTGGAAATCTAAGTACAGTATATCTACTGCATGCTCCTTGTCCACATGTTTGTTGACTCCCTCAAAGAACTCTAGTCTATTAGTAAAACATGATTTCCCTTTGCAGAAATTATGCTCATCTATGTTTCTGACAATTTTATTCTTTACTATAGTGTCAATTAATTTGCCAGGTATTGACATTAGCAGGGCTTGCCAAGTGGTGGCGAGCCCTACTCGCCAGCCACGCGGTTTCACATGGTTCTGCGTTCTGCACATGCACAGATCGTTCTGCACATGCGCAGATTGCTCTGCGCCGGCCCTTCCGGGTTGTAATCTACTCGCCACAGGCAAGTAGATTACATTATTTGTCAAGCCCTGGTCATTAGACTTACCAGTCTGTAATTGCTAGGATCACCTCTAGAGGCTTTTTAAAATATTGGCCTCATGATAGCTATTTTCTAGTCATTAGGTATGGAAGCTGATTTAAAGGACAGGTTACAAACCATAGTTGTTAGTTCTGCATTTTCACATTTGAGTTCTTTCAGAACTCTTGAGTGAATGCCATCTGGTTCTGGTGACGTGTTACTGTTAAGTTTATCAATTTGTCCCGAAACCTCCTATAATGACAGCTCAATGTGGGGCAATTCCTCAGATTTGTCACCTAAAAGAATGGCTCAGGTTTGGGGATCGCCTCAATATTCTCTGCAGTTTGCAGAGATTTTACTTTTATCACTGTACCTTTTAATTTCTGTTTAACTAACCTCCTCATTTTCATGTAGTTCCCCTTTCTAAAATTAAATGTCACAGTGTTGGTCTGCAGAGGTGTTTTTTCCACCACAGGAATGTTGCATTTTATTACACTATGGTCACTATTTCCAAGCGGTCCAGTTATATTTACCTCTTGATGAATATTTATGTGTCTTCATAGGAACCTGTAATGTTGCAGATGCAGAGATAACAAGAACATAAAAGGAGGCTCTTTTAATTGCCACTCAAAAATCAAATACTTACGTTTTCTCGCCCACCCTGCAAGATTCTGTGTACCCTACGATGGGTGTGCAACACCCTCAATTCCTGCTGTTGTCAATTTTATTAATGTGCAACCTACATTTTTCATTTCTTGGTTTAATCATATTACTCCTGGCTACAATGTCTTGTTCCAATCAACTTATACAAATCCTTTCCCACCTCGATATTTATACACTTCAGATATTTGTTAGCCGTTAGCAGGTTTCCCAATTTCCAGTCTTCCTTGATACTTAACGCTCATAATCTTTCCTCATAAATCAATCTCTCCAACCTTCTGGATTATTTTGTATGCCTGTGACTGCAGGCGTGGTCTGGGATCAACTCCAATGCCTCTCAGCAGCCCACGGGAGGAGAAGAAGGGTTTAATCTGAACTCTGTGGAACTCTGCCAGACATAGCTCATTTATTTGGACTGGATGCTTGATCAAGGGTTTCCCCTCTGCTATTACTGCACCAAGTTCAGACAATATGGTAACTCATGCCTTTACAAAAACTGAAAGAGAGAGATGGAAATAGTGATTTAGTTTAAGGTTCTGATTTATACCAATGTAACTCCATTGAGCTAAAACTAGAGAAATACAGTGGTGCCATCTGTAAACATTAATTTGCTTTTAAATAATCTATTAAAATTGAAAAGGTTAATTTTATGTGCATATTAATAAGCCCTGAGTATTTCACTGCATGTCCATCTTGCCAGAATCATAAATATGATCCTACTATGAGTCACCCTATTGAGTATCTGAAGCTCCATTTATCCCGGGGGCATTTAATGTCATGCCCAGACAAAGAGGGTTGTGCTGTACAGTACTATGTAGGTTTGCTTCCAGTCTGATTTTTTGCCCCCTTATCATTCATAGGGTGTCCCAGGAGCATCAGGATCACCTGGACGGGATGGATCTCAAGGTCAAAGGGTAAGGTGAAACAAACCAGTTTCTCTTTCTCATTTCCATTTCTTGAGTGATGGCACTAGCACAGTCAAGACCTGGCAAATGTAAGGAGAGCAAACAACTATACTGAAATGCACTAGACCAGCGCAGACAAAAAGTGTTGTGGGTTTCCTGGGGATATGGCTATATGCAAAAACCCAGCTTTTTGGCACTGTGCCCTTTGTGTGATGCTTGTGTGTTCCCAGAGACTGGAGATCAAAGCCCCTAGCTGTTTAAGAGAAAGCTGAATGTCCAGTTGGAGTCTGGTTTCTCATTTAAAAACAGACAGGAACTTGTAACCAAAGGGGTAAACCCAGTTGTGGGACCCCTAGTTCTTAGTTTTTAAAATTTGTGGATGGTTGAGATGAGTTCTTATAAGTACAGCCCTGACTGACCTTGCTCAGAGCAAATCTGTAGTGTAGACATACCCTGACTGACCTTGCTCAGAGCAAATCTAAGGGTGCATCTAAACAGCACCCTAAACTTGAAATAAGATGCGCAATTTGCAAATTGCATATCTTATTTCAATTTTAATTTTGAAATAGTGTATTTTGAAATTTGGCATATCTACACAGCTCCAAATTTTGAAATAATGCGCTATTTCGAGACATCCCTTAACTCTCATGGAACAATGGTTACAGAGATGCTGAAATTGCACACCTGCTATTTCGAGACCTGTCTCGAAATAGCAGGTGCGTTCAAAAGATGCAGAGAAGCTATTTCAGGATACTTCCTGAAATAGACATATTTAAGTGACGTGGTGATAAAAATGCCAGTGGTCTCCAGTGACTTGTTTGTGTAACCTTGTAGTGAATGTGTCGTAGGTTCTTTTCTGTGCCCAGTCCCTAGAGGCATGAGGCTACTGCAGCTCCACTTAGCTTTGCCTTTTTTAACTCATGGTAGATGCTTATACTTTTGGGTCCAGGGGTGCTTGGTTTAATCCTCAACATGTCAGACAGCAGTTCCTAGACTAGTGGTACCACCTGGGGTGCTAAACTGGGAGTGTAGCCACAGTGGGATATTTTTTTAAAAAAGGACGGCATAGACAAAAGCTTGATTTAAGTGAGGGGAAAGGCATGTAACTCTTATTCTGTAGATAGTCCCAGTGTGGTCTATACTAAGGGTGGGAAATTAAATATAGTCTCCGTTTTCAATAATGATCGTAATTGTTTGCTGTGTTTAGTTTCCCCTGCTCTTGAGGCAATGATTGTCCCTCAGTTAAACATGTTCAGTATTTCTCAGGAAGCTCTGAGGATCTTATAGAATCAGGTCTATTATTGGGTGTCTGTGCTATATTATCATGCTACAGTGATTTCTATGGGAACAGACTGATTTTTATACACACGGAATGATGGACATTTGTTCTGTATTGTGCGGTGTTGAGCATTTGCGCTATATTGTCATGCTACGTGATTTCTATGGCAACAGACTGTGATGTTATACATGCAGAATGATGGTCTTGTTTCTCTACTCTACTGCATTAGTTTATGCTGGTGTAATTCCACTGATTCAGTGAAACTGGCATAAAACTCCCATGAAAGAGTGGAGAATCCAGTCCAGTGATCTCACTGCACAGTCTGTTTGAAGGGAAAGCTCATCGTCAATAGAGTATGCTATAATTCTGACAGGCGTAACCACAGCACTAGCAAAGGGAAACTGGAAAGTTGGAAAGAAGTAAATTGCCTTTTTGTATAATAGTCTCTTTATCAAAGCTTCCTTCTGTAAGCCAACCTCTGAAACAGTTTTTGAGCCTATACTCTAAAACTAAAATTATATTAGAATTGATGTTTTCCATATTATTCTTAGCTTGGCCATCACTTTTTTTAAATGTTAATTAATAATTAAAATGACTGAGGCATAATGAACCTGATTCATCAAAGCACTTGCAAAATTCTAATGGGACATTTTGCTGAATCATTGCTGGTATGACGTTAATTCTAAAATGTCCGTAAAAAATGTTTTCCCTTTGGGTTCACTTTTATTTCCTTTCTGCTTTGTCTTGCTTTCTAATACTCAAAGCTTCTAATCATTATTTATCGGAGTCTCTGATTTTGCTTCCTTTTCTACACTTATTTTATTTTTTTATTCAGTACTACAATTTTTTTTTATTCAAAACTTTTTCCCCTGGGTTGTTGGGTTTTTAATCCTTGGTTTGCTTATCTAAGGTCTTTTAAAATTATATATACTATTTCTTTCCTATTCATAGCTTTCAGTAGTTTCCTTTTAAAAGAAAAAATTAGAGTATATTCCTCGAATCAGGTGTATAAAATATGAACAGAAATCAATTTCATAATGGACTGACTGTTCATGCGCTGACATGAGATTAAAATTCATTTTAAAGGCTGGAACAGAGTTAAAGATCTGTTTTCTGTTAATAAAACAAACTCTGAGCCTCCATGATAGATTTTTAAACAAATCTGATATCTGGACTAAATCTGAATTTCAGATTAATTCTGAGAACAATCCCCTCGCTCACCTTTAGTCCTCCAGTTATAAATGAAGAAATAAAGATGTTGGGAAAGGCGACATAGCTTCTGCCTGTTTTATTCTTGGTGATGTGATCATTGTGAAAATGTTCAAGGATTAAGGAACCTTTCGCTGCCTCCCTCTCCACCTATAGTTGCCCATACTAGAGTGATTATTCTAGGACTGGCAATGTGTGCTGCTTTTACAGTCACTCTCCTGGACATGGCTATGTCATGCACAAAGGGACTAGGTTGAATTGTGCAGGACTGCATGCTTGAATTGAGATTAAAGTGCTGGTGAGCCCCCCTCACACAAATATATTCCAGTTGGACTCCCCTGTCCTTTCAATTCTTCCTTTTCTGCCAGAGATATGAAGTTAAGAGCAAGATTGTGATTAGTCCTTGTGCAGGTGTGCAAGCAGAAAAAGAAAGGCGCTTTCTTTTCCCATGTTCCTCATGGCCTCTGCACAAAGTCCAGTCATACTTACAGTACTTACTCTCTCCTGAGAGATGCAAGCCACCCTGGAGAGGGCAGAGCTAGTAGCCAAAGGAGGAGTAAGGTCAGAAAGTACCATTCTAAGGGATGCTGCACTAGGTATGTCTCTCCTGCATGCAAGATATTAGAGGAGAGACTGTGCCTCCTCTATCCTCCCATTCCTCAGCTCATTTGAGTAATTCCCTACCCTCAAATATCTGTGATTTTGTCATCACTCATTGTTCCTTGGTGGCTTTTTTATATTCCCCTCTCCTCCCCCCCCCTTCCCCTTTTCTTCTGGTCTCCTTCTACACACCAGACTTCTCTTGGGCAGAGAAACAAGAACAACCTTCTGGTCTTGGGATTTCAGCCAAGTATGATTTGGCAGATAGGCATATAGCCTTGGACAGAGGCAACTGCTTTATTGCATGCACTTCACCTTGTTGCTGCTGAGCACCAGGTGGCCAAGAAGATGAGATGTGATGTCTGGTAATGACCTTCCTTGGAGCTGCTCCATGGCTGTCTTAGTAGCTCAGGAACAGGTGGGAGGGCAGCTTTACCTTGCTTGCCAGAATTAGCCCAGCTGGGAAAGTGTATTTAACCCTTCAGGTCCTTTAAAGCTTTCTCATCTGGGCCATGGTGGCACACTTCTACCAGCTCCACTCTGTGTGTGGAACAGAAAACGATGATTGGTAAGGTAGCAAATTTTTATTTTCAAGACAAGTTTTAGCAGCAGACTATAAACAATGGAGGAAAACATTCAGGTGATTAGCAAAGTATACCATGCAAGGCCTTCTGCATTTTAAACTATGAAAAATAAAAGAGAAACTTGCTGCCTATTAGCTCTTCGAGGGGATGATACAAATATATTCCCTTTCACCTGTAGTGCTGCAAAGGAGGGGGGATATTAAGCGGGTGTTACTGTGTTTAAGTGCTGTGAAGCAGAACTGGTCTAGTTTGGCTCACACTGTTGACTTTCCAAATGTTGCCATTACAGTCAATGAAGGATGTGTATTCTGAGCAGCAAAAGATTCCAGAAATCACTTCACTAGTCCTTTCCTGGATTAGCTTTATTTAACCAGAACAACACTGAGCCCTTTTATGAATCACCTCACAGATGCAGATTGACATTACTGAGGTAGTCTGTAGTAAAAGCTGCCCTCGCTATAAGTCCAAGATACACTCCAAAAAACTTGACTTATAGTGAAACAACTTAAAGTGGGGAATTTGTTCCCCACGACTGACTTCCATTTACACAATTATTTTTTTTTGCATGACGTAAGAGCGGGGAATGGGAGGACTTATAATTCATCAGTTCCTACAAGTGTCAATGACTTTAGTGTGGGATGAATGTATACTGGGGTGACTTATAATGGGGATGCCCTTATTTTACTGAATTAACTGGGTAGTCGTAGGCCTGCCACAGTTACTGTGAATTAGCACAAGGGTAAAAACTAATGCAAAATAACTTCAAAAATCTTTGAAATTGGTGAAATTTGAGAAGGGACAAGTGCTAGCTTTTCAGCTTTTGATCTGGCAAAAATAATTATTTGACGCCTCAATCATATGGGCACTGAGTTTCAGTTTATTCTACGTATTCAGACAAGCCTGCCATTAGACACTATTCTGCAGCCTTTGCTCAGACACACATAGCAGTTTTGCGTGAGTAAATATTGTGATGGGGCTCACTAATTCTAACTACTGTAATTCAGTGAGAATTTTGCCTGCATGAAGGACTCTATAGTTTGCTGTTAGAGTGAAAATCACCCTTCCGCTGAGGGCAAAAAAAAAAAAAAGAAAGTGCTAAGCCCCATGTATGTTCAAAGTGTGAAATCTTGGCTCCTTTGAATTCTGTGGCAAAACTCGCAACACATGTAATTCCCTGGGATTAGAATTCTACCCACAGTCTTAAGTGAGATTTAAGTCTTATTCTGCCCTCTGCACATGGGTGAATTTAATTCCTAATGCAGCATTTTACCCCCAAATACATCATTGACATTGATTCTCCAGCAGGGGCGCCAACAGACTTGCTGGGTCCCTGAGCAAGATGGCAGAGAGTGGCTCCGCACTCCCAGAAAGAGAGGTGCCTAGGGTGGTGGGCAAGACTGGTGGACGGCCAGCCCTCAGGGCCTCCCAGAGTGCACTGCAGCCCCCTGTCCCCACAGACAACCCTTAGAACCTCAGTAGCGGCAGCTGGGAGCCCCGGGCCCTGTAGTTTCCCCCTTTGCTCCCTGCCCCCCCATTGATGGACATGTTCCCCATACATAATTTGAGTTCCACAGCAGAATACAGGGGGTGAAAATAACTTAGAATTTCTTACAGGTACTGTCCTATTGCAATCCAGGTCCCTGCCAGCTCTTTAAATAGCTCTCTGCTGGCTCAGCTAGCTCTTGCCGGAGCTGTGCACCAGGGCACATCCCCTTACCTGCACCTCTGGCAAAATATGCCCTGAACTCAATCAGTCCCACAAAATAATGATGGTAAGTTTTGATTGGCAGTTAACTCTAAACTTCTCTACAGTTGGGGGTAATTTTGAAATGTAGACATTGAGGGTATGTCTAGACTACAGGCTTTTGTCGACAGAGGCTCTGTTGACAGAGACTGTTGACAAAGCTTCTGTCGACAAAGAGCGTCTACAGTACAGCCAGTTCTGTCGACAAAGCAAGTCGCTTTGTCGACATGAGAGTGTAGACGCAAAGGACAGTGTAGATGCAATAACGCCTTCTGTCGACAGAACTCTGTCAACAAAAGGCATTATTCCTTGTAAAATGAGGTTTACCACTGTCGACAAAACTGCCGAGTTCTGTCGACGTTTTGTTGACAAAAGTGAACTTTTGTCGACAAAACCCTGTAGTCTAGACACACCCTTAGTGTGGATTGAGCTCTCCTACATGCATGTAAATTTGAAATATCTGGTTCCTGGACACATGAGTATGTGGAACAAATTCAGAAAAGGTTTACTAAATATGACCACATTTGAAATATAATGCTATATTTCCATGTAAGTCCAAAAGATGGCACTATTTAAGTTAAAATGTTAAATAAGAACTCAATAAAACAATGCATAGTGTCCCAGTGTTTTACTGTTCTGAGTACCATTCTGTGAGCTCACATTGTTTTTACTGACTCCAAATTAGTGGCATAAGCAGCCCATAGAAATACATTTCCATTTTTTTCCAGCAATTCCTCCAGTTCACTGTCACCTCATCCTGGATATGTTCAGAATTAGTCTAAAACACATAGCTGCTGCCAGATAATCTGAAAAAATGACTAATCCTTATGGTAGCATAAACAAACACCCCGGTATATATCTTTAACTTGTAGGTTAGTACAAAGAATATTCACCACCATCCTGCTCCTTGAGACAGACCCGTTTGACTTAATTTATATTATAAACAGCAGCTTTCACACCTAACAAATACAGTAGGAGACCATTTTAAATGGCCAAGAGATACAGAAACGGAGCCAAGAGAAATGCACCTTAAGGAGATGGAAGGAGACATTCTCCAGTAGCGAAGACTAA